CCCGCCGCTGCTTCCGCATCCCGCCGCGCCGCCTCACACCTCAATCACACCACGCCATCACACTCATCACAGCACAACTCATCACATCACTTCATCACACCAACTTATCACCACACAGCCTCTCACCCTACTTCTCACATCCAACTCACACCACTTCATCACACCAACTTATCACCACACAGCCTCTCACCCTAATTCTCACATCCAACTCCTCACAGCAATCCGATATCATCACACCTCACACTCTCACTCATCACAGCACAGAGCGTCTGACCACTGCACGACTCAAATAATAGTTCACCGACTCCGACTTACATATTATTACCTTGAACAAGTATATATAAGGTACATGATCAGTTTATTTTTTCCACGATTGGATTTTTACATGTGAGTACGACTATAGACATCAAAATCTCTATTGTGTGGTTGTTTTTAATATTTTAATGTGCGTTATAATATGTTGTTTGTAAAATCTCTATTGTGTGGTTGTTTTTAATATTATAATGTGCTAAGGCTGATGGAAGCGGTGAGCAGAGACTTGGAGCATCGAAGAGGCAAGGTGGTTTCGAAATTTTCAAAGGATCAAGATCTTGGCTTTGCACTTCGGATCCCTGACTCTTGCTGCAATGCACAATGCCGAGGCTGGAATCAAGGAATTGTCTTGGAAAATGCATTTTCATTGTCGAGGAATTGCTTCGATGATCGACGGATCTTACTATTGATTCTGAGTATGCCTGCAACGTGGCTCAGAGTAAAGGATGACACAAAGGAGAAATTGAACTTTGCATAATATCTGTGACCCAGCTCCCAGATATGATGGATTGAAATATTTTTTTGAGATTAGCACAGCGTATTAGCAGTGTATCTTTCATGCCCGATGCTGGCCGTGCTGATTTCAACAGTCCAGAGAGCGTTTGACCCTCACCCACTTGCGCTATTTGTTTGCTGCGTGGGTCGGTTGTTAGCCGCTCGATTTAGTTTTTTTTTCAGTTGACGTATGCACTTTGCATCTTGTCGCCAAGGCTGTACCACCACAGCTTGTGACGGGCCATGCTGACGACGGCGATCTCTTGAGCGGAAAAGACCAGAAGCTGATTGTCACAGGCTTAGAACCTCTTCTTCTTCTGATCTTTTCCTTTTTTTTCTGCATCAGTTGTTTGTCAGTAGAAGTTATTCTGTTGCAACGCTTGACATTGATGCATGACGATGCCAAAAAGGTCTTGGAAAAGGAAAGCATGACGGAGGCAGAGGGATTCAGTTCGTTGCTCTTTTGTTTTTTCTCTTCCAGTTGCCTTTGATCTGAAGTAGTGCTTTTGCAAGTGCTGAACGATATTGAAATGGTTATGGTAAAGATATTGGACAAGATGTAGTCGACGATGGAAACATCCCAAGAATTGAGTTCTTTTCTTGTTCACTTTATTTTTTGTTTTGGAGTCATTCTGTTGCAACCATATGCGTTGATGCAGGACGATATTGAAAAGGCTATGGAAAAAGAAATGGACAAGATGCAGACATCAACGGAGGCAGGCGGAGAATGTTGTGCTTCGCGCATTCATTTTATTTTTTTTCGTTGCTTCTGATCTGAAGTAGCATATCAATTTGACATCAAAATCAACAGTAATAGGTCAATCAGACAATCTGCTTGAGAAAGATGCCCTCAAACCTTAGAAGAGACCAGTTATTGTTTCATTTTTGAAAATTTCATATATCATATACTTATGTATGTACCGATGCCGCATTTCTTTTCCCAAAGTGATGCAATAACAATAACAGATACTACCCTCAAGAAAACAGTGGAATTCTTTGGCAGAAGTCACTGGCGAGGAGATCGGTGTGGAGAGGGCTTCACACCACCTGCACGGAATGAACCAGGTGAGCCTTGCATACAATTGTGGACAACTGTTGGGCAGAGTCGCTTGCCTTTTTCACGCGATTGTGGCCGCCCAGAAGTTTCTGTTTAGTGATCTGACCTTTTTCACGCGATTGTGAGCTCGCCGGTGCCGCTTGCATGGCTGCTTTCATGAGCAAGAATGGCAAGGCCAGAGAGGACAGATTCTGAGCAGATTTGTTGTATCTACTGTACACCTTGTGCAAAACTAGTCCTCGACCTGCTATGTCCAATCTCGATGTGCTAGTTCCCACCGGGTGCTTTGCATGAAGCAAGTTAAGATTCGCTTGGCAGATAGCTCTACGACGGTACTGATGCCTTTCTCAAATGTGTCGAACGCAACTCTGCCTTGAGCATCAGGAGACTGGCGTCACTGATTTCTACGTGGCACTGGAGGAGCTCAACATGACATCTCTATCAGAACCTGTCTTTGATTCTTGCAATCGATTGCTGGAAGATGAGACTGTCTAGGATGCGATCACAATGGAAAACCTTACGTTGGAGAAAGTCTTTGACGAGCACATCAAAACCACCGAGTTTCTTGGAAAAAACCAAAGGGCAAGCGATTTGCATGTGTTCCATTGCATGTGTTTCGAGAACTCTCATTGATTTTAGACATGCATTCGAAGATTTTTTGTCCAAAAGAAAGTGGTATCTCAAGCCTACCAGTGTTTGTTGCATGCAACAGGCAACCTGCCGCATATCTTCTGACGTCTGGTGGCAAATGGAGCGTGCCACTTGGCTGTGAGGCTGCGAGGTAGCTGTGTATACCTCAGTCCTAGCATGGCCCAACATGGCTTGCCAGCTTTGACGGAGATGTCAAATAGATTTCTTTGTAGGTCCTCATCTGGTGTAGACCATAACATCCACCTGTGCCCTTTCTGAGGATCTTCTCGAAGGAGACTTTTCTTCACTGGGATCTGCATGTTGCTAACCCCAACAACTTGGACAAGTCGCTGACAACGATCTCCACTTCAAGCAAGGCCTTGTTGGAAGCCATGATCGGGAGGCAGACGTACACCAATCAGAGCGAATGCGGCGTGCCACTTGGCTGCTTTATTTCTTTGCCGTAGCACGAACATGAGTTTATCCAGTTTACAGCCCCCACAGCATGCATTTATTGAGCTCAGTTTAGGGGCCTTGATGATCAAGAGTCTAAAGAAAGTTGCTTCAGTCCAAGATTAATCTATGTTTTTGTTAACCGCCTCGTGTTTTTTTTTGTGGCGAGGTATCGATGTGCAAGAAAGGTAAGAGAGGAGTGTTGTTTGCTGTGGCGCAAGATGCCTCAAACTTTCTGGTGCATTTTTGCGTTGGAAGCCCTTGTTTGGCATTTTTGCCTTGACGGGCAGATGCGGACTGGAAGGAGAAATGTCCTGATGTGTGCTCAGTCGGGCCAAAGACTTGGTCGCATTTTGTTGGACAATAGTGGATAGCTGTGTATTCGTTCATCACCTGTGCTTTACCACCTGTGCTTTTTGCGGCCAACAAGGTCCGATAAGCCAACAACTTTATATTCAAGCCCTGCAAGATCTGAAGCGTCGGTGATCTGTCAGCCTTCAGACCAGGCTTTCTGTGTGAGATGTGTTTTTGCTCTCTTTAATTTTTCTAACTGAAGTAATGCAGCGATCATGTGCCTCATCAGTGCCGCATTCATTGAGCTCATCAGTGCGTTGTCTTACCATTTTTCTTTTGTCAGCCAGCTCTAAAGTCGGTACTTCTCTTGTCGCACAGTCAGTCTTCAGGTTGTCACACAGTGGCTATCGGGTCTGACTAGCAGTGAGCCTTAGCTTGTCACACAGTGAGCTCCAGTCTGTACTTGCCGTGTCGAACAGTGAGCTTTTAGGTTGTCACACAGTGGCAATAGGGTTTGTCACACAGTGGCGGGCAGACTGGCCGGCCGCGACTGCGTGACGCATGACAAGCTAAGAGCTCACTGTGTGACAACCTAGGGGCTGACTTAATGACAAGCTAGGGGCTCACTGTGTGACAATCTAGGGGCTCACTGTGTGACAGGCTAGGGGTCTACTGCCGGGCAACTTGACAGCTC